GACGAACCACTCCTAACTTAGTGAAAATATATGAAAATCTCTACGGTTAAACTTCGTCAGATTGTTAGGACCGAATTGGAGAATTGACGGTAAAAGAAACGTTAATGGGCTTCGCAGGCATCTAGGACAAAAGCACTGTTACATCTATGCTATCGTGATTGAGATAAAACTCATCTAATAAGTTGTCGAAGGACTATGTTGTAGGATTAATTTCATGGGTTGGATTGTGAGCAGATTGTTTCATTCGCAAGTCCTCGGATTTGGAAACGAAAGGCGAGACCTTACCCTACGAGTTGAGGATAGTGATCAACTTTCTGTATTATACCATCGTTTCCTGTGAAGTATTGCTCGTGTCTGGTGGAAACATCAGATGAGTAATGACGAAATTCGTCGTCGTGCGTTGGATGCGGATAGTCGTTCTCTAAAAGAATAATCGCTGCATTCTGCCTCCGATGGCTTAATCACGTTTCGCTTATACCTACTCATCGTCTACCTTCCTGAGCTCTTTTTTGCACGTACTAGACAAGACTGGAAGAAGCGCTGCGGCGGTCAAATAATGACATGGTGTAGAGGTTCGGTTACTGCAGCTCGCCTTCCAGGCCGAGACGCAAGGGATGAAGATTACCGATTGTTAGGGACCGTGATAGACAGCTCAGCATAGAAGTTAGTGGTGCGCTTTCTGTGCGGTTTGCTTATCCAAACCCCGTTCCCCATAATAGCCAAAAATTTCAAAACGTGTACGATGAAACTATAAACAAACCTAGCCATTAGTTTGTCCTCCTTGTTCTCTGTTTTCCCCGTTTTTATTTAATCACTCTGTACCCCTTATTACCATTGCTGTTGCTTTGGCACCATGCTTGTCCTCAAGCCGGTATGAAAATATATATAGATAACGCAACCTATCTTCCATATTTCTGTATTTCCCCAGGCGCCCTTTTCGCGGCCGTGGCCCCCTTGAAAGTTAACTGTACATTTGTATACTGAATAAATAAAAAAGGAAGTAAAACTTTTTATTCTTTACCCCATTTCCAATGAGGAATAATTTGGTCTTCTCAGAACTAAAAAATCCACGACGGCAGTGGGATTGAGGCCACTGTGCTTTACCCATACTTATTTGTGACATCAGTCAAACCTGTTGATGCACAGTTTTGGAACAATTCTCTTTGCTTTTGTTCTTCCAATTCTTACCGAGAAACAGTCTCTGAATCACGACAATCCCTTGACGGGACAACCGAATAATGGCAATTTGTAGAAAAGAATGAAACGTGGAGGGGAATGGAAGAAAACACAATAAATGTGTTTCTGACGATTATTTAAACATTGATTTCATAGGGTGCATTAATGAAGAGATAGCGTCTGACTTTTGTCTGTTTGGTTTACACGCAAATTGCATGGTGTCACTGGGAACACCAATACTAGATAGCAAACGGCGTGTTCCGTTGGAAGTAATAGCAATGGCACGAAAGCGTTCAGATATAATATTAGATGAGGATTTAGGGATGAAAATCATGGTGAAAGGTCTTCAATAATGAGGAGTTGAACATGCATGCTCAGATTTATTAATAAAGGGAGGGAAATCTCTTTGGGTGTATTGGCGCCATGTTTGAGAATAGACGGGGACAGACCACCTAGGCCCACTGCACTCGTGGTTTTCGTCGTTTGGAGAAGATCCAATCCACCCTTTTGGAAAACTGGGTGAATGGTCAGCAAGCTATTGGCGGCAATAAAGGCATAAAATCATCTGAAGGATAAATAACTACAGTGTCGAGTTCGTCCTCATCAGCAGGTTTCTCTTTTGACCGTTTCGTATGTCCCCACACCAATCTGATCTCTTGTCACTAACGCCTTCCGATGCAAATCTCGGGTCTCGTCCTGCGAATGAAACACTCAGTCTTTTGAATTTCTGTTTGATTTACAAAGAAGGCTGTTTGATAGCGGTTCAAAATTCCAATAGTGAAATATTTTTTCCTTTGACCTCCTTTTACTGAATGTAAATTTAAACAACACGAAATGAGGAAAGTCAGATGGCGGCGATGGGATTCGAACACGCCATCTAAGGCGATAATTTTGTAAGGCTACCATTCGGCCACCACTGTCGTCGTTGTCTGTTCTATTAAACTGCACCTAATTTTATATGCAATTTCATATTTTAATTGCGTTTTATGATTACTATGTGTAATGGGTAGTGCTAACTAGTATACACTACGTATATCGTCATGCAAAATAGTCGTCCGGAGACGTTTGGCACTTTAGAAACACATGTCTTTATGAATCTCCATCGAACGCTGATGTTGGTTCATGGATCCTAACAAACGTAGTTTGCACTTCGTATTCCCCCTTTTCATCTGACAGAAACTATGTGATTTGTACAATTTAAAAGGTCAATATTCGGCAGAACTAGAGGACATTGTTCTTGTGTTCTGCTGCCTCGCAGACACAGATCAGGCAGTTGATCTTCTCAAGGCTTGTTCTCAGGATCAAGGTAAGCAATCAATGTGTCTGCAGTAACATCGTCTTCTTCTTCCTTTCTTCCGTATTCTTTTAGTAGCGCGGGGTGGTAAGTGTATTCAGTAATAGCACCGAAGTCTCTCTTATCGATTGATCCTCTGTCAACAGTTGTTTATGTATGACGTAGCTCCAGGGGTTGATCAGAGTCCGGAAGAGAAGCAACACCAAAAGATGTTTGTTCATCATATCGGCATACGCACCGACCAATTGCAATTCTGATACATATAAGGACGATTTCTGCGATGAGCTCACCGATCTCATTCGGATAAGTCGAAGCTCCGAAATAGTTGTACTTGCATGTGACTTTAACGCGTAGGTTGAAAACCTGAGAGCATCAAAAGCTTGCCTAGTTGTGCTCTGCCGTGCTAGCGACCAAATAACGGTGGTCGACTTCTTCAGTTCGACGCAGATCACCACCCATTCCTGCCCACTACTAACTCCCAACAAAGCTCTCAACGGACAGCAACGGGCGTTCAACTTAAATCGACCACATGGCAGTAACCTATTGTTGTTCTGGCTCAGTGCGAAATTGCAGGTCCTATTGGACTACCTGCGTTGAGTCTGATCACGCATTAGTTTTGATGCGGTCCACTCTCTGATTCACCGGCTGGTGACAAAATCAGTAAACTCGATTTACTCGTCATCTCTTGCATGTTATAAGTCAAAGCTAGTATGTGAGCTAAGCGCGCCTCAACATGATGATGTAGATGAGCAGTGGGATCAGATTAGGTGAGCAATGCATTCCGAGGCAAATGTTGCTTTTGGTTCGGAGCCTCAAGCCCATCGAAGGTAATGGGTATCTCATGAGTCAGTATCCCTGATGGGGAAAAATGACAAATCCCGACCTGCCATGATCAAAAATTGTCTTTGTCACCATGTATATTTCATAATAGGAAGTAAAAAGCCAAGTTAAAACTGAGGTTTCTAGGCCAACTCCTGACCACCCGTATGTCAGTCGACCCCCTGGATGCTACCAAGTCTTAGCGTGCAATTTCCGAGTGCCGCCGGCCACTAACAAAAAAGATACCTTAAAACAATTATGATTTGTAAATTTGTATTTGAATCACCGAATCTTCTGGCCCCAGTGTTCCGGTGCTAAATACCCTGTTCAGAAACGGGTAGCATTTAGGGCTACAGAGAAGCTTTGCCAATTTACGGAATGTCATGCTGGGCTAAAGAAATAGTCTGTTTTACCAGAGTTACAATTTGATAATTTGTGGATCAACTCAGACATCAGTTCAGTTCAATTCTTACAACCATTAGCCATGCACTTTTGTGCGCTGGTTTTGGTTGCTGTCTTTAGTTTGCTCATTTGTATGAAACAGCAGAATGAAGATTGGAATATTGAGAGCATATTCAAGCGGAAGATGGTGAATTCATCTAGACTGAAGTTACAAGAATAATGAGTAGATGCATGAGCGCCACTGTTTGCGACTTCCAGCCATATCACTCAGTTTCTCTAACCATTGATGACTATGATCTCGTGGTCCTCAACTCAGACATGCTAGTTTATTCTCATGAAGACAAATCCGTACTCTACTTTTAACTGGAATATTATCCAATGCTCTCGCTCTACCGAATTGCACCGGGCTTCCATCGTCTCACGAAATTCCGAATCAAACGAAGTTACTTGTGAGTAGTAAGTAGATGGATGTAAAACTTCTGAAATGAATGACAGCACAATACACCTCAGCACATGGTACTTGTCACGGAGAAGCTCAAATGGGGACGCAAAAATCCAAATTTACGAGGTGATTCCATTTCTTTCACATGTTTCGCAATCGCGAATCCTGTAAATCTGTCCTCAACTGTTACCAAGAATGAGCAGGACCTGCAAGGAATCTAATGAGCGCATTTTGTGCAGGCTCTCACGCGTTAGTCAACGAGGAAAATAGACAAATTTTAGGGACATCCTGGGGCATGCATAGCTTTTGTACGCGCTTGAAATAGAGTGACACTACCCAGCATCATTTGTACCTTTGGAGACGTGTACAGACAAACTATCAGAGACCTGGTTGGTACAAGTGAGTTAACAGCACCTTGAAGCGCTCGGCAGTGTAGGTTAATGGTTGTGCAAATAGAAATCGAAACCTTTTCCTGATTAATTTTTTGATGAATGTGACTAAATTTCTTATCTTCATGCCAGTACTGTGACACTGTGAGCGAAAAGAGATTGTATTGCTTAATTGGCTAAATAAGACTTGCTACTTGAGCAAATCCATGACAGATAGTATCTTTGGTCTCAGTTCTATCACCAGTGTTCTTGTTTTTCGTGCACTGCTGGAGTTTACAGGTTGATGTACAAAATAATAGGTTTTGCTTCATCTGGTGTACAAACTTTTTTAATACAGAGGTAAATGCATTCTGATTTTGATAACCACATTTGCATGCATTCTTCCCTGGTTAACAACTTCCTACACGACTGAAACACTGACAGATCGAGGCTTTGTGCCTTGTATCCGGAACACCCTGCTCGTCTTCCCCACGTCTAGACTGACAGTTCGAGTGATACAGTTAGCGTGCAAACTGCTGGTTCTGTTGGCTAATTCACAGCCATCCGAGATGGACGGATCCGTTTGTGGTCTGGGACTTGGCGAATTTGTCACCCTGGTGATCACACACTTCCTCATTCCGAAGGAAAACCGCAGCTGTCCCGCCCCTTGGTTTCTATCATCAGACGAGCTGTCTGAGGACGATATGAAGGTAAGATTGTACGGTTACTTGTCTGTTGTTAGTGTTATCTTCTAAACCGGTCACCAGTTTTTTTGTGGGGGAGTATATTTGACTTCTGGTGTACGAAACAAGTACGGTTTACTTTTTAGGCGAACTTTTGCTATCAATATATTAAAAGCTGCAGATACTGGAAAAATTGTTTTTGCTTCCGGTTACAGTTTTTCTCGTCACGTTTAGAATGCACTGTTGATTGGTTTGCTTTATTCGTGACTCTATTCAAAAGGACACGTGGTGAGGTTTCCGGATATTGTTTTCTGCCTTTTCTTGTCGAAAAGTGTGGCAAGCCAACCGTCATGGTACATGCCGAACAAGCAAGCATGCACGCATTCCGTGACTCAGTAATTATGCAGCTCACTGTGACGATTTCAGTATCACCCTTCCTTAACAAAATTGTTCAATATCCTTAGTTCACTTTTCNCTTTTCGTGTTATTCCCCTTCTAAGTTCTTTCTTACAACTGGATTTGTTTTTATCAGCTCACCTACTCGTTACTGGTTCAGCTGTTCAGCTGCTTCCCGAACTACGCTTCTTGCTTACATGAAATGGATCTCTGGCGTCTGGTCACTTTGGGTAAGTCGCTTGCGTCATCAACGTAACCTCGAATGAAGTTGCCTATCGGTTTACTGTTCATGGAAATTGATTAGCCTCTATAAATACTTTGGCCAGAGATACTCAATCATTTCAGCATACCTCACGAGCATCAAGCTGTCACACATTTCGGTTACAGTTTGTGTTTAATTCGTTCACCTCATTACCAAAAGTCATTGGCGACCGCAATGTGTCTCGAATACGACAGTTTAAACAAGAAGCAAGGATCGACCTCTCAAACAGCTCTGTTCTGGTTGCCGATGGACGAAGTAGTTCAAGTTACTGGCACTTACTACGTCCCTGAAACTCCTAATACCCCTCTGTGCTTGTAATCTCCTTTTGGATCTGTTCTCATACCTTCCGAGTTTCTCGGTTGTTAACTGGTAAGTTATGTCTGGACGTTTCATGGGTTTTCTCTCAGACTCCAAAATAGTCATATTTCAAAAGGCTCAAGCCAAAATATCAGTTTTATCACTTCCGGTTCAAGCTATCAACCATTTTGTGCTTCAGATCTGTAATTTTTTATCACTTGTCGTATCTACAATAGCAAAACCGAGAATACAACTATTTTGGGGGTCCGGAGATAGTGCTACACTGGTACATAGAAAAGAGCATAAATATTTGTGACCATGAAGAGCTTGTTTTTTGTTTTCAACAGAACTGCTGAATACCCATAGTGTTCCCTTCACTGCATATCATTAGATCTAGCATCTCCAGGTCGCAGATAGCGGAACGGCCGCCATATCTTGGCTAACCGTGAACAAGGTGAGCTTCGGCCTGAGGTCGCTGACGATCAGCGGCAACGCTCGAGGATATGGTGCGTTTACCTCCTAGCACGAGTTCTGCACACAAAACACCACACATCTGTGGACAGCACTGTGGCGTGACGAGTGTGGCCCACCACTAAATGTGACCATTACCCCTTGCTGAAAACCATGGTTCGACAGGGTTTTCCGGAAAAGACCACTGAACCAAATACTCATCTGGAACACCGCTGCTGCCTTGAAGTCCGCGGTTAGTTGCCCGAAGGCTAAAGTGTACCCTCGAACAAGGCTTACTCTGGACCAGGCGAACGGGTAGTAAAATATTCCACAACACTTCCAGTCTTATCAATTTCGAACCTTCACACCATGCAAAACATTCTACACCTTACACGTCCCCACTCTCTCTCATTTCACACTCAAACTCCTCACACACCTCCATTTCTCTCGCACCCTTCAAACGATCGTATTAACAGTAGTGTCTTGGATGGAAATTCTGTCACTGTTCTCTCGCGTTTTACCTCGAATACCGTTCAAGTTTCACCGAATCCTCCACCAGCTAAAACCCTTCTTCGGCCGCGATGCCCCTTCAACCTAGCCACATTTCATGTGCGTAATCTGATCCATGTAGTACAACAGGTGTGTATACATTCAAAACAACAATCGATGTGTATTATGTCCAAGAAACTTCCATTCATGAGTGCAGCTCCAACATACCATTGAAGTCCCCATTTAAATCATCCGCGAAGTTTTACTTATACCTGTCTGGGGGCCCTGAGGCTGCGGCTTCTGATCCTACTGGCTTTGGCGTGGCTCTCTATGAGAGAGCTGAAGCCGCGCTCCTATATTGGATCCCAATCAACAGTAGGTTGTGCACAGTGAAATTCAGAGGTTCGTGCAAAGTAAGCAGTCGTCGCACCGATAAACGAATCTTGTTTTTCATGTAGGCGTACGCTACAACGGACTGCAGCCCAGATGCAGTCACTGATGAATTCTGTCAGAAACTACATAACCTCTTGCGTAAAGCGAACCTGGCTGATATCGGTATTTTAGCCGGTGATATGAATGCTAGCGTAAGTCGGCTGACTTCAAGTGAGACGCATCTGGGAGATCCTTTCAGACTAGGTTCTTGTCTCTCGGAAGTCGGGGAACGGCTCTTGACTCTATGTTCCAACCATCACCTATTCCTCGTCATTATGAACTTCAGACGATCCAACTGCCGGTATGCTACTTGACGTCCACCCTGATCGAGTCAGCGACAAACGCAGATCGGCAACATCGTTATAAACTACAAATGGCGGGCATACAAGACTTCCGATCCAACCGGAGCACTCCCCTCGAATCCGACCACGCGTCGGTCTACGCCAAGCTGTTCATGTGCTTCGGTGGGCGGTCTAAACGCGATACTTAACAACGGTTAAACTGCTATAGGTCGTTTCAACCAGTACGCCTAACCGTCTTTCAGAACGTGCTAACTGAAAAGCTATAACCAACTCCATCCGATAATATCAATCATCATTGGTTTCTGCATTCTGCTGGCTTAGTTAGTTGTGGTCTAACACGTCGCACCGTGAAACCCTGAATTTCAGTGTATTCTCCACGTCTTTTAGACGCACGTCAATCACTTCCTACCGGTAGTGAGCATAAGGTAGCACGACTTGTAACGAGACGTAATTCTACGCGGAGACCGTGAAATTTGGTGGACTCAAAGCGCATCAGAGATGGAACGTGCTTTCACCATGGAAAACTCCCGTAAGCTGTTCCATCTCATCTGGGTCACCGGTAGGAAAGCCGTGAGTGTGAACGAAACGATCTGCTGACAGTTCGTCCACTCATAATCAACAGCGACATCTTGCACGATGATCGAAACACTTTGAGGCACAGCTTAGCTAGTCACCAGGGTCATCTTCTCACAAAGCTACTCCGGCCTACGTTCCATGGTCTGTCTCAACAAACCCACTTTCCGAAGGAGAGATTCGCAGTGTAATCCAAGCCTTGGGAGGTCACAAACCGCCGGACTCAGTTGGTCTTACCACAGCTCAATTTAAAGATGGTGAAATAAAGCTTGTTAGAGAATTGGTGGCTCGGCTCTCTGAAGTTTGGCACGCTTAGCAGGTCCCCTCCTCATAGACGGATCGATTGTCGTCCCCATCTTTAAAAGGAGCCCGCACAATATCTGCACCAATCACAGGGGTATAACCTTGATCCCAGTAGTGTCAATGCTGTTAGCGTCCGTCATTCTTCGTAGATTGTACAATACTCGTGAGGAGTCGGTCGGGTTTCGCGCCGGTTCTGGATGCATCGTTCAAGTTCTCACCTCCCGACAGTTGCTAGAGCACAGGACGGTGTGTGAAAACCGCAATTTTTCGTAGGCCGGTGTCTAGTTCATTAGATCATA